CGAACGCTTTTGTTTTTATATTTTATTTCCATTTATCGTGATTGTAAAGAGTGGACCTTGTCCTGTCGAGAGTGTCAACGGTCAAAAATTACTCGTCATGTTCAAACACCTATCAACGATTTCCCTTTGCCAAATTGTAGATTTGAACATATTCATGTGGATATCATCGGCCCATTACCCCAAGTTGGAAATCTTTGTTACTTTGTTTTTATATTTTATTTCCATTTATAACCACTTTGGTTCTTGATAATTTTTTTCTGGACATATTCTAGCTTTTAATTATGTAACAAGTTTACTATTGCATTGTTACTATATTGTGTATAGAAATCTGGTGATTAAGCTGGCGCAAAAGTTGAAATTTCCTTTAAATTCAAAATTGTATAACTCGGCTTTGGATCAAATACCAACATTGAAATTTTTGCTGTATGTTCCTACTATATAGGCACATCACTTATGTAAAAATTGGATTTTTATAGTTTGCCCCACCAGAAATATTGCACTTCAAAATTTTGAAAAATTGGAAAATTTAAATTTTTAGTAGCTTATAAAAAGTTAAGGAGACTGAATTCAGACTTAATATTCTGACATATGCAAGTATTTTACCATATCTTACAGGATAAAAATCATTAGCTATGGTACTTTATTCCTTCTTTGTAAAACTAGGCTTTAAAAAGAGCACTTTGTTGAAAAGTATTTTCAAAATAAGATGAATATTTTAAGGCATTAGTGATTGTTTTAGAGAAAATGTTTAAAGGACCTTATATATAGAGGGGACTTCACTGAAAATAATGGTACAAGTCTCATTGTTCTAGCTCTATTCTGTAAAAAGATATTTAATTTATCGCTGATGCCTGCAAAGCCCAAAAACGCCGTGCGCGGCCTGACAAAAATGGCCGCAACTTCTAAACGGAACTAGATAAAAATATTTTAAAAACTGTTTTGAGGTCATAATTATAAGGGTAATAACATATAAAAAAATTATGAAAATACAAAATGGTCGAGCAACCAAGTATTTTTATATTGGATCACTTCAGATGGATTGACCCACATTGAATATGTATATTGTATATTGTGCAATACTGCTGTACTCTCTAAATTTTCTTATGTTGGACTTTTTCAGTGGGATTTATGTGCTAGCCGGGTTTTGTGCGTTAATGCAAGCATATACGTAGCTATTCTTTATGTTACTGCTTATGGTCAAATTTCATCCAATGATTTTTGCATTATAGTTATTCCTATCCACCTTCCGTATCGAGTAATCAGCTGATATGATAGAGCATCACTTTGCCGTTGTCTGCTAAGTGGTAACCACAACACAAGTCACCGCGCAGACGATGTATTACACTTCAACAGCGTAACTCAACTTACAATGCAGAAGGTTGGTATTTTGAGCTTTTATATGAACGGCAAGAACAAACAGTTGTTGGACACGGTTCTCTAGTTTGGAAAATGTAAACCAAACATTACTAAGAACTTATGATAACTTCTAACAAGCAACAACATTTTTTTGGAAATTGTAAGCGAGAAGGGGCCCTCCGGGATCGCGGACCTAGCCAGTCCAGGCCTGCGGATAACAGAGACTGATGGTTATAAAGGTGACGTTTAATTGAGGTTCTACTGAACTTTATACTCTGCCTGACACACCAGTGGGCCCAGGCATTATACACAATAACTAGTCAAAGAGTATAAAATGCTATTGTTATTACTCCATTTCATACTTTGCCTAAAAGCTTCATATATATTGTATAGAATGTCTTTATTAAACAGGGCTGTAACAATCTACCCAGAATAAATGGCATACAGTAATGAATTTTATTCCAGTAAGGCCTGATGAGACATACACATACAAACTAAAATGGAAAATGGAAGAAAAAAAGGAAAATTACGATGTTTAAGTGTTATTTTATTACACACAAAATGTATCACTAAACAATCAAAAGTTGAGTATACAATAATTGGATAGCAATAAACATAATTAATGTCACAGTTGCTGATTATTATTTTTACATTAGCAATGTTTTAAACAAATATTTATGAAATTAGGCACCAGAAATCATCACAACAATAAAGGCCAAGCATCAAATAACTATCACAATTATAATGTGTGTGTATCACACAAAATAAAACAATCCATCTAACTTGTATTTGTCAAAGATTTAGATACAGTACTAATTATTTTAGCATCAAATCCTAAATAGATGTATGGAGTGCACATACAATGTGGCTAATATATGACTGCCTATACTTGGGGGAGACATATTAAAATTGGTACAATTTCTGAGCTACGTAAAATCACCAGTACAACTAATTGTTCATAAAACATGTACAGAATTTAATCTTTGTCTATAGATTAAAACATTTTAGAAATTGGGATTTTGACTCTTGTTATAAATTTATTACTAAAATGCAGGTCAACAAATATGATAATTTTTTAATTAGAGTAAAAAAGATTTGACAAACTAACTGTGTTCATAAGCTTTGTTCTTTGAAATATTTTCAAACATAACTGTCAAAAGCCACAAATATTGGTCAACATACTTTTATAGTCACTTGCAATAATTTGCTACAGAAATGCCACTTAAAATACAGCACTTTGCCTCTGCTGTTATCTTTAAAGTATTGACAAAATTTTGGTTTTGAAACTCAGTAAACACAGAACATTAACAGTTACACACAACACACAGTTATTTATGGAAGCTTAACAAAATATAATGGTTACCACTTGGTTATTTATACATCTCCTGATTCCAACACTTAGAACCAAATGAAGTTAGTGTAAGTCTCCAAATAAAAAAAAATAAGAACAAAGACAATATTTTCAGATATGACTTCTAACTTACTGTTATCACTTTGATACAGTATCTGAGTCTAAATGGGATGTTTGACAAAATTAATTTAAAATGTTCAAGGTTGAGAAACTATAGGCCTAACACTCAAAATTTACCCGATGAGTTAATGTTACAAATGTAAAAGAAAATAAAACAATTGGTGTTTTATTTGTCAGTATCTAATTAAACACAACTTAGCAATAGTTTTACGATATTTTATGATATGGAATTCCCATTTTCGGGTATGGTTTGATCCAGATTAAGCGCTAGAAGTTAAGAAAATAAGTACACAAATTGGAACTTCCCAGCACTATCCTTTTTTTATCCTCGTCTTGTTTTCATCTACATCTCTTACAGCAACATATAGAACACATCAGGTTCTAGGTCTCGAAACACCATGGCACATTCTCACAACTAAGTTATTAACTTTAAATAAGTACATACACAGAAGTATATTACAAGTAACAAAAATCATAGTCAATAGTGTTAGGGACACTGTACACCAATAGATTGAATTACAAAACATTATGTTGTATTGGATCAATCAACAAAGAAATGTTGTCATATTATACTAATTTCAATAAAAATAAGCAGCATCTTGAGGTTTGCTTGGAGCAATTTGGGTTTTTGCCAAAATTAAATTGTAGATTCAATTACATGGTCCTCAATCAGGACGAGATATAAAGCTAAGGAATACATGTTCATTTACTCTCATTAACCTGTACCAATGTCCAACTAAGAGTAACTAAGGCCATTCATTTCAATCTTCAGGCCCTAGTGGATCTGTAGTTTAACAACTACAATAACATTGTTGTCTTTAACAAATCCGTTATCTTCATTGAGTAGAGCATTCCAGCTATAAAACTGTGTATATCCTTGACTATAATTTAACAAACCAAACGTAGTGGTAGACTTAAATTTTAGATCAGGTTTTTTACACTGATTTATTAGACTTAACTCAAGATCGCTGTGACAGTTAAATTGTTCAGTTTTGCCATTGCACCCAACATATACTTCAAAATACTCATTCTGTTCCACCTTAATCCTACCAACCAAGAGATACCAAAAATGCCCAGCCCAGGGATGAGTTTGAGAATATTGTCTTTTCCCCTGCTCAAGGTTTGCCAAACTAACAGAGACACTAATATGTGTTAAATGAGGATTGCAAAGATACTGACAACTGTTTATACAGTGAGATGGGGGATATCTATCAGAGCGATTTCTTGTAACTGTATTCAAATATTCTATGTCATGGGGATTGCCTGATACCAACGAACTGCAAATAGCATGTATTTCTTCTTTGTTAAGAATTTCTGTAGAAACAACACTGTCCCAAAATTCATTTTTTTTCATAGACAAAAACCTTATGTATTTTAAACATTCAAAAATGTACTGACGAAGAACGTTTCCTTCCACTGAATTAGTTTTTGATTTGGCCCATTTCAAAACTGCATTCCAAAGTTCAATTTCTTCGACTGGAATATACTCCAATTGCAGGATCCACTTTATCACACTGTTATTAACCTCCAAAAATCTAGCATCACTTACTAATCTTTCCAGATTATACATCACAATTGAAGCCATTTTGCTCTCGAGACTTGTTGTTATACAACAGACTGGGTGGGAAAGAGCAACAAATATGTTCTCAAATGAAAGTGTATCTTTCATATCTTTAATTAATTCATTCTTCAAATCATCTACCAAGTACTTTTCATAAACATAGAGAAGTTTTGCCTTTTCCTGAAAAGTAAGCTTAGGTATTAATAGATGACTTGCTCCATAGATACAAATTAAAAAGTTTCTGAATGTTTCTGGTTCCACATCAGTCACTCGGACATCACCCTTTTCAGCCATTTTGCCAACGCCTAACATGGATCTTAAAGGTTTACTACAACCCTTTAGAATCTCTCTAATAGCTCCAATCCTCTTTTTTGGGCCACTATCACAGCCAAGGACAAAGAAACAGTCATGTTTTGCTTTGCTAAGCCAGTATTTTACACGACTTGGTAATTGTGAATCTTCCATTTTTTGTATGCGGTTTTGTACTTAACAATTCTAACAATTTAAGTGGACATTGTTTGCTAATATTTATGTGGTTTATAATCTCAACACTATGGATTTTGCTAGTTGGTGTGAAAAATAAATGATTGCTTCAATTATTAAGGTGCTTACAATTGACGTGTTGATGCTGATGGGCAACACCTTCAGACTTATTTTTCTCTCAATGATGATGTCTTGGTTTTTTTTTGTTCCACATATATATCTGTAACAATCATAGATATTTGTTAGTCCCTTTTGCCATTCATGCATGCCTTTTTGTACCGTCTGAATGATTTTTTAGTGTGTATACACTCTTAAAACTACCTTCTACTGCAGTCCAACCACGGCCTTTGAAGTGGTAATGTCGCAAGAAGTGTTGTTACAGCTGTTTTGTTTGGAGGCAGCTGAGCTAATGGCATTTGTGTATTTTTTAAGGATACGAAAGCTTTGTTACTGAGCTATGAAAACATTGACTCTGTTTTAAATGTACACAAATAGAATTCCAATTTATATTGTTTTGGTCAATTCAATATGTTTTATTTTCCTTCAATCTTTTAGCGAATTTCCCTATAGGGAAGTAGCTATTACCGTAGGTCTCATGGTAAGACCTAAGCCCGGGACCGATTTACTTTTTCATTTTGATGTCCCCAGAGGCCAAAAACACCATTTGTTCAAATTTTTATATATCTATATAGCCTATATATTTATACAATTGTTTAGATAAAGGGCTACTATTATAAATAATGAAGAAAGCATATTAACTCAGTACCTGAAATTATTTTTATTATAAAAAATAAAAATAATTTCAGGGTACTGAGTTAATATGCTTTCTTCATCTATCTATCTATACTATTATAAGAAAGAGGTGGTGTCTGTGTGTATGGGAAAAGTAAACGCGAAAACTACTGGTCGGATCGGGCTGAAATTCGGCATGATGATAGCTCATATTCCCGATTAACATATAGGCATATTTTTATCCCAAAAATCCTTCCGGGCTCCGCCCCAGTGGCTCTGGAGCAAAGGTTCCCATGTTAACCTTATGAGAAATGGAATTAATGAATCTTAACAGCTGTTTCAATTAAACAAGTTGGTTCTGTTCTATGATTTTCAATAGCATTAAAGTTACAAGGATTACCAACAGGGTGCAGCACTAGCATTATTTCTTTTACATTTATGACAACAGCTAATTTGCAACCAAAAGGTGAGTGAGCGTAGCGAACGAACTTCAACCTGGAGGCGAGTGAGCGTAGCGAACGAGCTAACCTGAAGGCAAGTGAGCGTAGCGAACGAGCTAACCTGAAGGAAAGTGAGCGCAGCGAACGAGCTCCAACCTAAAGGTGAGTGAGCGTAGCGAACGAACTTCAAAAAGAACCGAAATTTCTTAAACTATGTCCTCACTCATAACTGCTATAAGCATTTGATACTTATATGCCAACCCCGTACGAAGGACGGGTACTCTGCTAGTTATATATATATATATATATCCATCCGCACGATAACTTGAGTAATTTTTGTCCGATTTTGATAAAATTTGGTTTGAAGGTGTAAGGTGGGATAAACTTGAATGAGTTCGCGAACCAGCATGATCGGACTATGGGAAGGGGGGTTTATGGGGGGTTTTATGGGGTAAAATAGGTTTTTCCCATTTTTTACCCTAAAAACACAAAATTTCACAATTCCTTTTTAAACCATTTTGTAGAGTTTAAAAAAACAAATAATTTAATATATTGAAGCGTTATTATGCGCCTAATTGTTACAGAGAAAATTCAAAAAAATTGTTATTTTAAAATTCCCATGTTATTCTTAAGGAGAATAAGTCAACTGTTGCAGTTTGCTTGTTTATGAACATATTTTGATCAAATGTGGAAGATACATTAATTTCTTACTAAACTATAGTAAATTTTAATATTTTACATTAAAAAAAACTTTTTTACCCTCCCTGTTGCAGCAAACCTAAGTACTCATTAAACTAATTCTCTTTAAATAAGGGAATAAATGTGATATTTTTAAGGAGACATTTTAGTTTAAATCCAATCAGGCAGATGGAAATTCGCTAAGTCTGCAGGTTTGCTGCGGCGGGGGTATTAATAAATTTATATTCATAAATTTAAATGTATAATACGCAAATTAATGAGCTGGCGTCACCTGTGGGCCATGTTATCTTATATGACATCTGGTGCTGAACAACACTACTTGCGACATTGACAATTCTACCAGGCTGCGGCCTGGAGTTAAAGGTGGCCGTGGTCCAACACTCCTACACATGAGATACGATAGTGTGACAGTTAAGCCAATAGACAGATAATAGAAATCCTGTTATAAACCTGTACAGTAAGTTGATTTGAAAGATTTTGAAAAAAATAAACTCTGTACAAATGCATAATACATATCTTATGAATAAAAACTTGACAGGATATTTTAAATTCACAATTACCCTGAATCAACCACTTGACGGATATTTATGATTTATGTGTTAAAATGTTGAGTGCAATTTAATATTTGCCACATGTCTGTTTTTTAACGTTATACTTCATTGATGAATACCAGATGGTTAAATGGTTAAAATGTGTTGTTATAAATAATAATAGTCTGATCTATGTCTTCCTTAGAGTCGGGACCACATAAGTTTGCAGTTGAGGGAGGAGCCTATTTACCATATGGGTTTGAATGAACCAATGAGAACCGTGCGGTGTTGCCAAATCTAATAATACCAGCTGAATTTAAAATATTGCTTAGTATATTTTATTAGTCCGATGTGGCAACGTTGCACTAGCCTTGTCTTGTGATTGGCTGTTACCAACTGCAAACTTACGTGGTCCCGACTATAGTTGGTTCAATTTAATGTGTTGAGTTTAATAATTCAGTTTGCCCTTGTATTTTAATGAGCTAGGTATTTTAATTTAGTGTCCAGGGAAACCACATATTTACAGGTTATGGGCCCAGGGCTGTTTAAATACGGAATTTGTTAATATTTTTTACCTGGCTAATCAAATTGAATTAATATGGCAACTGAACATGAAAAGTATCGAATACCATTGTTTGATGGAACCAATTTCAGCAATTGGAAATTTAGAATTGAAACTCTGTTGGAGGAATTAGAATTATTATCTTTTGTAAAGGAATCTTATGTTACCAAAGTTGAATTTCTGGATAAAGACACAGATGAACAACGAAAGAGGAAGGAATCAAGGTTGTTGGAATTAGCGAAACAAGATCAGAAGTGCAAGTCGCAGATTATACAGCGTATTGCCGACAGCCATTTGGAATATGCAAAAGACAAGGCAACTGCTTTTGAACTATGGTCATCTCTCTGCAACACATTTGAAAGGAAAGGAATTGCTAGCCAACTTCTACTAAGGAAGCAGTTACTAACAATGAAGTTTGATGCGAAGAATGACGTTTTAAATCGTCACTTTCTGAAATTTTACAAAGTCATAAGAGAGTTACGTTCTACAGGAGCAACTGTTGAGGAATCTGACATTGTTTGCCACCTATTACTGACCATGCCCAAAGAATATGACGTCGTTGTCACGGCCATAGAGACTCTATCAATGAAGGACTTATCTCTAAGCTTTGTGAAGGTCAGACTGCTGGAAGAGGAGACAAAGAGGAGGGGCGTTGGAAAAATTGAATTTGATTGTACATCACCACCTACTGTGCTGTTTGGTATTTTTATAATTGTTATCATATGTTGCATATTTGATGTTTGTTTTTATTGTATTGTTGTTTTGAGCTTGAAGACTTACTTTTGGGATCTTGGCTAATAAAGTATCTATGTTTAACTGTGGTGTGAGTTTTACCTTTCACTTCATGGTGTCAGGTTAAATAAACTTTTGTGGAGAAGAAAGAACTAAGAATGGCTGAAGCAGTGAGTAGTACAGTTAGTACAGTTCAATACCAACTTGTCACACCTGAACCTTTCAATTTCAGGGAACCTTCTGAATGGCCTAGATGGATAAGAAAATTTGAAAGGTTTAGATTAGCTTCAGGATTAGACAGTAAGAGTGGGGAAAATCAAGTTAATATGCTTTTATACTGTCTAGGAGATGAAGGAGAAGACCTTCTAACATCTTTCGGATTAAAAGATGAAGAATTACAGAGTTATTACACTGTCAAGGGTAGATTTGAGTCTTACTTAGGTTTCAAAATCAATATTGTATATGAGAGAGCTAAATTTCTAAAAAGACGTCAGTCTGAGGGGGAACCTGTTGATTCTTTTATAAATAGTTTACACAAACTGGCAGAGCGATGTAAACTTGGGGAATTAAAAGATGAACTAATTAGAGATTTGATAGTAATTGGGGTAAATGATGATAAACTTTCTCAAAATTTACAGTTGGATGAAAAATTAACCTTGAGTACAGCAATTTTGAAAGCAAGACAAGCAGAGAGTTTAAAACAACAACAAAAAGTAGTGAGGGAATCACCAGAAATTGAGTTTGTCAATAAGGGGATTAATCAACCCACTAAACATCGGTTTAGGGACAGTTCTTGCAATAAAAGTCAAGAGCAAAGCTTTTCAAAGAAAGGTAAATGTAACAAATGTGGATTTGTTGGGCATCACAATAGCAATGATCGTCCTGCCAATCAGTCTACATGTTTCAGATGTGGAATAAAGGGACACTATGTGAGATGTTGTACCAAAGGATTTGAAGTGAAAGGTAAAACTCACACCAGAGTTAAACATAGATACTTTATTAGCCAAGATCCCAAAAGTAAGTCTTCAAGCTTAAAACAACAATACAATAAAAACAAACATCAAATATGCAACATATGATAACAATTATAAAAATACCAAGGGTTTGGTCTGACGTTCAAAAGAGTGCTTGGGATAATTTCTTCAAATCCAGTTCTGGTGTCTTACAACAAAAATTGTAAAACCAGAGTTGCAGCTGATGCCTCGTCATTTGGCCTAGGAGGGGTGATTGAACAATTTGTGGATGGAAAGTGGAAACCAATCACCTATGCATCGAGATCTTTATCACCGACAGAGATGCGTTATGCACAGATAGAAAAGGAGGCACTGGCACTGACTTGGGCATGTGAGAGATTTTCACAGTATGTTTTAGGAACCGAGTTTGAACTTATGACTGACCATAAACCTTTAGTTCAGGTGCTTGGAAGTAAACAAATCGCTAGTTTATCGGCAAGACTTCAGCGGTTAAGAATGAGAATGGCTTGTTTTAGATATAAAGTAACATATATGTAAGGAAAGGTGTAAGA